ATTGGGATTCAGGGCACAGGTAGGTCTCACAGATTAAATTGGGGAGCTCTTCCTTGTTAGCATGGGGCTATATGACAGCGTCCTGATGAATTCTGGTCCTTTAAAATATACTGGTACTACAGCACCCAAGTGGTTATAAGCGACGTCTCAATCAAACTGATAAATGGACAGATCTTAATATCAGAAGCACCATATACAAGCAGTTAATAACCAGGATGGGAGACCACGTAAAAGGAGGGAAGAATATGCCTCTTTTTAGAGAAGGATTCCTCATAAACAAACATTTGCTGGCTCCAAAAATGGTTTCAGAGCGATGGAAATGCTTCTTTTCTGAATTCAGACTCTTGGGGCTAGTCCAGTACCTTCCCCTGCCTTTCAGGAACAGTCCAAGCTTACCCTGTGATCTGCCATGTAAGTTTGGTGGGTGTTTTGGGCCGGCACCCCTACTGCAGGCATCCGCTTCCAGAAGGATACCGATGTTCCGATGGTATCAAAAGCCCGCTGAGAAGATTAGGAGAATTAACAGGCAACAAATTTCCCCCTGTCCTCTCTCGCCCAACTAGAGGTAATAATAAAGGGCAACCAAAAGCAGTTTCTTCTGTACAAAGCCAGGGCCCTTTACCCTGATTCAAATGGAACTAGAAAATCAGTTTCATCCAGAGCTCCTGGATCTGGTACACCTATGAAACATATATATCGAACTGTAAAATAAAGTAAGGAAATAGTGGAAATAGGGGACTTAGTTTTGTGAAACCCAAAACTGGACCAGGAAAACAAAGTAAAACCGAACTATTATTAGAGGGCCAGAAGAAAGCACAGATTAGGAATTAAAACCGAGTCATTCAAATATAATGGGGAGGAGGGGGAAGGTGACAAAACCTAAAGGGTTTGCAATGCACTTATGTGAGGACTAAAACTGGAGGAGACACCATTGCTGTACAGAGTACGTCCTTCATGCTGCAGTGCTCAGTTAATCTGTAGGTGGCCAGCAGGTCTACGGTTAACGCATCTGTTATGGCTAGACCTTCAGAATCCTGAGCAGAGAAGAGTCCCCTGTATGGCAGGCCGCTAGAATACTTCAGGCCCTAAGAAACAGAGAGGTGAGTGAGCAGGCTCTCCAAGGCCCAGAAAGCCTGAAGAAACCTTCAGCCCAGGCAATGGTGAGCATGGTGTTATGTCTCTATAATAGAGAGGATGTTCCATTTCTGGTCTGGTTCAGGTGTGTTTATGTCCCTCCCTTCCAGAGGATTAAAAACATTAAAATTCATAATCTACCACAAAGAACCAATTTGAAGAAGTCAATCTTGGAGGATGATTTGTTTGTGAGACAGCAGAAATGATAGAAAACTTGTCATGCCCTCTTCAGTTTACATGTAGAATGAGGAGAGGGGCAGCAGCTTGAACCACCTGGAAGTAGCTTTTAATACTTCTTAATGTATTATTATATTTGATTAATATATCAGTATCAGTCAGATACTGTCTTGGAGAAAGGCAAAGAAAGTTAATAATCCAGTATGAAGCAATTATAGTGTTGAAATAACACTCAATTCCTGACCTTTCTTCACTTACCTTAAGAATTAAGTGGAAGTGAGGTTTGAAATCAGGAGAAGATTTTATTCTGTGTTGGTAGTGGTGGATGGAGGAGAGGGGGCTCTCCGCTATGTTTTATATTATGGAAGTTCTTAAGTTTATGATTTGGCAACCCTCTCCAAATACAAGATTTAAAGAGATACATAGTACAGTGGTGCCTCGCAAGACGAAATTAATTCGTTCCGCGAGTTTTGTCGTCTTGCGATTTTTTTCGTCTTGCGAAGCACGGTGTCGGGAAAGTTTTGGAAAAGCTTCAAAAATTACCAGTCTTTAAAAACCTCAAAAAAGGCTACCACACCGCGTTCTATGAGTTGCTCCTTGAAGTCAAGTCGCAACTGTATTAACGGTGTTAAGAAAAAGGAAACAAACTTGCAAGACGTTTCCGTCTTGCGAAGCAAGCCCATAGGGAAAATCGTCTTGCGAAGCAGCTCAAAAAACAAAAAACCCTTTCGTCTTGCGAGTTTTTTGTCTTGCAAGGCATTTGTCTTGCGAGGTACCACTGTAAATCAAACCATCCTCACTTGTAACTTTGATATTTAAAAGAAGACTTAAAGCAGTGTGGGTGGGGAGCCTGGGTGTTTCGGTGGATGTCGTTGGAGACTAGAGCTTATTCCTCCCCCTCCTTAAAAAAAAGAGACAATGGACTTGACCATAAGTTGTATCTCAACCTCTCGTTAATAGGAATGACATTGGCCAAAGGTGCTGCTACCAGAGGGACTCAAAAGCAGTGGCGGTTTCACCAGCGATATATCGCTAAGTGAAACCGCCATCCACTCTGCATAAACCAGGTTGAAATTTGGAAAATCAATAAAAATTAATTGACACACTTAATAAGGAGGAAGTTCCAATAGGACACCACCATTTTAGGAGGCCCCATCCTGTGTGGCAGTAACACGCAAAGGGCCTTGTCCTGTAGATCTTAAATCAACTGGGTTTCCTGGCACTGAGGAAGGCATTCTTCCTTCAAGTACTTGGGTCTTAAGCCATGCGCACACGAGGCCACACATGCATATTTACATGCACCTTGCAGATGCAGACATTATCAGCATTTCCAGCTGTAAGTGGCCAAGCCAGGGGAAAAAGAAGGCTCTCGGCACTCCTGGCCACTGAAGCACATGGACAGTATGGAATCCTGCTACACCCATGAGCAGCAGTACTTACCACTACTACAAAGAAGTACAAGCCTCTTTCGTCCTTCAAACTGTAGGTCAGGATATATAATGGGCAGAGTGTTGAACGTGGGACCAAAAAGAAATAGGTTTCAAAAAACCATGAGTAGCCAAGAAGCTTACTAAGCAAGTTTTTGCTCACACTAGAAAAACACAAGAAGCTTTCCTAAGCTGCACAGAAGAAATACAAAAGCAGTAAAAAATAGAATATAGCCAGGATTGCCGCGTCTAAGCATACATTAATCTCCACACATACACACAAAAGAAAAACATATTCTAGAAATAATGAGTTCAATGTCACAAGCTACATTTTTCATTAACTTCTCCACTTAGCTGAAGTCCTCTTAAAAAAATTACATTAATAAAAAATATTTTGCATAAACATTTATACCAAGTAAATTAAATCAACTTGCTTTAAGGAAATGCGGTATGTATTTGTTGAAGACCAGTCTCCCTTTGACCAGAAGGTCTCATAGCAACACACATACAATAGTTAATATGGAAAGGACAGAGGAATCAAGTTCTTGATGCATTTATCAGGAAATCATATGAATTAAACAGGTGCTCATAATAAGACAAACAAAGCCTACATATATGAAAATCTAAAATGAGAATCAAAATTTCACAGGGAGTCTTCAAACATTATAATTCACGCATATCTTTAAATGTTTTGTGTTTATATCCCCCCCACACACACACACAAAATAAAAAATACAAAGTGCAAATGACGTTTAACAAATCATTTGTGGATTGGCTGTGGTTCCCTGTCAAGGGCGCCAGCGTTTCCTGCTGTGTAATGTGTGAAACGGCCCTCCAATGGCCATTTAAACAGTGAAAATGGGGACACAGGCAAAAGAGAAAATAATTGGAGTCAGAATTTTAAATTAGAGGAGAAACAATGCAAATTTAACTCCAGAATCAAAACCTGAAACGTTCCCAAGGGCCGTTTCTCTCAATATATATGAGAGAAGAAGAGAAAGCCTGCATTGCTTTGGTTGCTGGCTACAACCTACTCACTCGTCTTGCAATAATCCCACAGACTTCAAACAGACTGCTTTGGAGAAAGCAGTTAGTGGATGGCAGCCAAAAACAACGCTACTGCAGTTATTTTGGAATATTTACCCTACACTGTGAGGCAAGCTATGTGGGCTAAGCCCATTTTTATTTGTTCTAAAAGGTAAACACTTACTAAAAATAAATACCTTAAACAGGAATGAAGGGCAATAACTATTCAAAAACCTAAGTTGCTTAGGACACAACCTCTGTCCATCCACAAAGTAGCTGATAGTTTTCTATGGTGTTGCCAAAAGCAGCTGACATTGTTTAGCTACCAGAAGAACAAAATGGAATCACTGTGTAACATTGCATCCCATGCCAAATAACATCTGTATACACCATCAGGGATTCCCTATAAAAGACATCTTGTTTGGACTACATTATCCTTTCACATTTTATCATGATTCATTGTACTGTTAATTCAAACATAAAGTTTATGATCATCAAACAGAGCTGTCTCTCCGCTCTCACTACTACCATACAGTACACAAAGGAAATGTTTGCAGTGAGAAAATAGACATCTATGCAGGTGACAGGCTTTACTTAGGACTATTTTGCTCCTATCCTATTTGCACATAAAGAAACAGGACGAAGAGGAGCGTGGTTATATTAGCCCAAGATTATTATGGGTGAATACAGCTACCATTTTGTACGCCCATCATCTGGAATGCTATGCCAAGCATTAACAATGCAGTTGCTTTGGGTTTTGACATTATTTTGAAAATGGTTTTTGGAGATAGGTTTGATGAAAAGAAATTTAATGGATACACGTGTGGAGAGAATTCCACTGCGCCCTTGTTTTAAAAAAATCATGTGCTCAGTGACAAGACCACATGATTCAGCTCCACAAGGTCACAGGTTCTCTTCCCACCCTTTTCCTGTTAAACTGCAAACAAACATGATAAGACAGGGCTCAAGAGCCACAGAATTTTATTCAGCAACTGATCTCTATGAACTATTGCTCAGTGAGCTTTAAAAGTATAGCTGACGCACTGTGAAGTAATTGCAAGCAACCAGCCAGAGCAATTCCCTAAAGCCTAAAAGGCTAAATTAACTGAAGGATTCCTGTGAAGCATCCCAGTGTCTCTAGGCTGCTTCTTGTTGTATAAGCTTTGCCTCGTGATCCTGGCTGCTAGCAGATGGCCCCCAAAACTTCT